AAGTTTTTGGAACAAACTTGGCAGATGATTAACTGCATAGCGAGAACAGAAGAAAAAAACAGAAAACGTAGTTTTAAACTTTTCAGCCTTTCAAGTTCTAAAATTCAATGTACGTTGAACATCAATTTCAAAAACTTTTCACTTTTAAGACTTTAATACAGAAAGTTTTCAGTGTACCCAATATAATTGATTTTAAAATACCATCTGTCTGATCTTCTTACGTTAAAAATTTCAGTAGAGCTGCAATAATAGAGGTTTATTACAGCTTTTTTGAAATTTCGCCGTAAGTACTGTTGTTTTTAAAACAGTATACAAAAAATCGTTCTAAGTTACTGTATTATACAGCAGCATTATAATCAATAACAGCTATCACCTGAAAACTTTGAAAACTCCAATTTAACATAAAGCAATCTGAACTGTTTATGATATGCATTTTTATGATACCTTTACTTAAAAACGTTGTTAAATGTTCAATAAAACTACATTTGCAGCATTGATATATAATGCAGATAGGTTTTGGAATTTTTTAATATTAGACAACAGATATAAGCATTTCTGAAAGAAATCTTCAGAGGGTAATATATGTACTGTAGCGAACAGAAAAAAACGTAAAAATTTTGATCGTTTAGTGCTCCATTTTCTATGGCGTGTTTAAAATGCGCTGAATGTTTAAAAAAGTGTATAATCATTGTGTGACAGATATTTCTGCAACATTTTGTCAATTTTTTGGTAGTTTTATAATCCAACAGTCAATTTTAGAGGCTTAAGCTCTATTCAAATCCAGGCTCACAGCTGTATCTTAACGCTTTGAAAAACAATTTTTCTTTTTTTTTGAGACACTGCTTCGTAAACATTTCTGCAAATGGTTTCCGTCGTCAACTATTGTCAACATTTCTGTCAAAAAATTACTCAGTTAAGGCGAGTATAATAAAATTTACTAAGAAAACCAACTTAATTACTTTAAGGTCTGATTTTTATAAAGTTCTAAAACGCAGCTACATAAGAATCTTTTAAAACCTATAAGAAGCACTGCTCGTTTATAATTATGATGACATTTGGCTGTTAATGGTTATACAAAAAAGCTGAACTGCTGTTCAGCAGTAAACGATCATTTATCGTCTACAAATAAACTCACTATTATTTTTAGTAAAAATGTAAAATTTATATGAGAGAACAAAAAAGTTTAG